AGCTAAAATATATTTAGAATAAATAAATATATGCAAAAATATATAAAATACAATATATATACAGTATATGTATATGACCGCTCTCTTTAAATGAACTGGTGGCGGTATGAATACGGACTCTGTATTTATTGCACTGTAGGTCTATAACAAATCCTTTTTATATTTTTATACTGCTAGAATAAACTCTTCTTTTTCACCCAATCAAAGAAAAAACTCAAATTCCTGCTCCTGAAATGCACACGAGATATTATATCATAAAGAGTCTGTAAAAATGTTCTTAAACAGCCACGGGTGAAGGAGAATGCTTCAACGGAGCGCTCGTAGAAACTATAAAACATAAATGGAAGAGCACACTGGCATAATGGAGCAAATCTCGTTCATTATAAAATCAAATAACATTCAAACACTCACACATGGAAGCCTTGCAAAAGCGTAGAAGAGATCACTTGTCCCGATCATTTCCAATATCAGCAGGGTGATTACACTCTGAGGCCCGAGTCGGAGGTTCGCTCTGAAGGTGGCACTAAGGATATGGTACCTGGATCGCACGCTATCACCAGAGCGCAATTGCCTCTCGTCCAGTCATCCTCCCGCCATCTCCAATCTCTGAACACATATACAAGGTGCTATCACAAGAATGCCTTTTGGTGAAAACCTATCGCCTTCCTCAGCCTCAGTCTTGCCGGTGTGCTCTTCCATTCATGTTGTAAAGTAAAAAAACAACCCCTCTCCACTCTATACAAAATTAGAAAACAGGGACACCACTGGACATCTGGGAACAAGGGCCTCTCACTGCCTAAGGCTGGGGGTGGGAGGGTTTGGTCAAGATGCGTTTTGGGTAGGGGGGGATTTTGTGGTGGATATTCCAGGTTCCAGCATTGGGGGGTGGTACGGCTCGTGGTGCACAGCGCCCTTCCCAGCTCACTGATGTCACTTGTTGCCAGGGGGTGGGCAAGACGCCAGCCAGAGCGTCCCACTCAGCTCCTGGCAACCAGTGAGATCAGTGAGCTGGGTGGGACGCTGGCCAGAACTCTAAGCAACCTGGGATGTCCTAGCCAGATAGGGGGTGGCAGGCGCACCTGCTGCCCCCCCCCCACATGACCCAATTAGATGCCACCTGAGGTAACCACTGCCTTATTATAGGGGTGGCCTTGTCTGGGAATAATGTAATTTAATAGGTGTTTATAATCAGGTAAACTTGACAACAAATCATTAAATAGCAAAAAATAAAGACAGACCCAGAGAGACTGAACACAGGGGGGCTGCATAACTGGGGGGAGGAATAGTCCCTGGAGAAGGGGTTAAAAAAGTAATAAAATATTTTGCTTTTTCAACTTATGGTGTGCTGGTGACATTTTTCTATAGTTACGCAAATGGGGGGCCATCAGGTGGTATGGGTGCTTCCCCCTGTTGGTGTCAGTATTGGTAGGAGGGGGCCCGGCCTCCTTGGAACTTGGGAGCAGTAACTGTCCTCAAGCTGATTGTGGTGCGGCTGGGGACATGGCCTTATTTGGGCTGTTGTGCACCCAAAGACCCCTTCTCAGATCCAAGAGTATTTATTTGTATATTATTTGGTTTATTACTTTTGGCTGTTGTTAAAGTTGGTTTGGTTAATTAAAGTGCTGCTGTGGTAATTTAAATCCATGTCACGCAGTCTGTGTGTTTATTGGGGATTTTAACAGAGGGTCGAAATCGACAAATCCATTAGTCAAGGTTTTCTTTTCTGACCTTCAATTCTGAAAACGTTGCTGACATTAAGAAAGCAAGCAGGTCAGACGTTTGACTCGCATGCTTGTTCATTGATTCAGAACGTACTGAGACCAGAGGCAGCCAAGCAGCTGGCATTTTCAGAGGGCTGTCAGCAACAGCAGCCCCATATTTGCTTCCTGAAAGGTCTCCTTGAAAATCTTGACAATAGATGGTTCCTGGGCCTAGTTAGGACTACAGAAAACACTGCATATAACACAGCCATAGCAAGAAACATAGTGACAGTGAAGATGAGTAATATTTCCGGGTAGTCTGGACGCCATGACAGCGGGATGATGTACAGGATATTGTATGGGTGCTTTACAATCCATATTTCTATAGCTGCCGCTGCTGGCGATGATTGATTTGATGGTTATATTTCACCACGGGCGTGTTTGCTTAGAAATGCAGTATAATTGAAATGCCATCTCAGTGTTGGTTTCCCCGGCCAATTAATAATTTATATTACAAATAGAGAATATACAACCCAACACCCAAATGTCGAGAAAAATGGCAATATGCATCAAATAATCATAAGATGTTGAATGCGTTCATGCAAAAAGAAAAAATGGTTATCGTAAAGCGGAACTCCATCCAACAAGATGCAGTTAAAATCCTAGTTTGTGAAATGTTTTACTGAATGTATAGTACCGGTATGTATGTTTGTGGACATCTGATCATCATGCCTACAACATGTAACTAGAGCAATGTAGACAAATTACGGAGTTCAAGTCGTTCCATTGAAGGGTACTGTTGCTTCAGCAGTTTAGGCAATCGGTCCTCTTCCACCGTTGTGGCCCCTTTTCTGTTCCACCATGACTGTGCCCAAAGCCAGCTCCATAAAGACATGGTTTCTGAATTTGGTTCAGAGGAACTCAAGTGGCTGCCCAGAACCCTGACCTCAACCCTACTGAACAATTATAACCCTATTCTTAAAGGAGAACTATGGGGTTAGGGCTTTCCCCCATAGTTCTCCTTAGGGTAACGGGAGGACACAAACTAGCGTCCTCCCGTCACTCTAGGCTCAGTATACCGCAAGCTGCTGCTCGCGGTATACTGAAACGCCGCAGCTGAAGCGGATCCCGACAATTGTGCCGGGAACCACCAGCTGCGTGAGTGACAGCTGGCTCTGCCTATCTAGAGGCAGAGCCAGCTGTACCCGCCCCCGTTCGTTCCGCCAGTCAGTGCTGGTGGATCGGAGCGGGGAGGGGGGAATCCATCCCCTCCCCTGTCACGGCAGAGAGCTGTGACAGGATCGAGAGGTGAGCGAACGCCGGTATGTATTCGCTCACCTCCCGATCTACTGAGCCCACCTGTGACAGTCTCATTGTCACAGGTCGGCTAGAACTATGAGGTGAGTGAAAAGCACCCACCTCATAGTTCTCCTTTAATTGTAAATCCTGATTCTAAGCCTAACACTCAACCTGGCTCTAACAGTAACAGTCAAACTATCTTCTAATTCTAACCCTCATCCGGAACCCCTTACTCTAACCCGAACTTTTAGCTTTAAACCTAACATAGAGGTAACACAAGTATTGGCTCCTTAAGGTCCCTGCAGTAACGCAAACCTGATATTTTGCTTAGTATTGTAATGTAATGGGGTAGGTGAACGGGTGCGTGCCAGATTGCATGCTTTACACGTGCACTGCTTGTGCAGTACCAGGCTGTTCTTCACTTGCTCATTAACTCTTTGTTGCCTGACCACCTACATCGTGCTTGGGACCCCCCTGGGATATAACCGACACAGAGCTCTCAAGGTACTTGCAGCCTCGGGCAGAATCACTGCACCTCACCCTTTATGCCACCTCTGAGTGACAACTGGCCTGGCCTGACCAGTGTATGCCAGTGGCCTTACACATGCACTCCTCAGTCGTTTCCACAGCAGTTCAACCCCACAAGCCCATTCCCAGGAGAAACCCACATTTCTGAGGTTAGGGAAGCTGCCTGGGAACTGCTGAGCAAAGAAACCCTTTGCAATATTCCCACACCTCTTGGTCATGTGATATCACAAATCACATGCATCACATTTGAAAGCATCCTTGTGGCTGTTTCAGTTGGATGAGAGAAACATTCATGTCTGTAGCTTTCCAAAGATACCTCCTGCCATTGCTCTGCTCCTAGTCTTTTGCTATTGTTTCCCCTGAGACCGTTGGCCCCTACAACATTGTCTTTGTGGCAAGTAAGGGAAATCTCCACCTAGGACAAAACATAATACAGAAAAACGACTATAAACTCTAGCCTTCCCCCAGGAGCATAATTACAGATGAGGGGGCCCAATACCAAAAAATGTGATGGGAGGGCCCCCGTAATGACCTCTCTCTCAGCCAGTGGCCACACCTGGGTGACACCATTGGAGGGGTGACACCAAAATGACTGACAGTCATTTTGGTGTCACCCCCTCTGAAAAGTCGGGCACGCCGTCATAGACCAAGAGCCCGACAGTTGCAGGAGAGAGGAGGGGACCCGGCAGCATACCCTATGCTGCCGGGTGAACGTCCCCTCCTCTCTCTGCTGGCGTCCATCACCAAGATAGCCGCTGGCAGGTATTACCAAGATGGCCGCGCATGCGCAATGACATCATCGCACACGCGCGTGGTGACGTCACGTGCATGTGCAATGACATCACGGCAGGGAGTCACCTGGTACCCGCTCTTGATGACACCCGGCCTCGGGACACCCCTGCTCTCAGCTGTGACTAATGACACCAAGATCCCAAAGACTCCAATTGCGCATGTGGTGTCAGCTTTCCTGCACTGTAGACTTTACAGAGGATTAGCGTTGTCATCGACTGCAACCACTACAACCTTTAATGATACTGTTCTATAATGTCTTCACATGTTCTATGTTTAATTTGCCTCAGCAACCTAATGGGGCCCCCTTGCACCCCGAGGCCCCAGACCTGCCACCTGGGCTATAGTTATGCTACTGCTTTCCCCCATCCTACTACTACTTAATACTTTCATCTTCTCTCAACTTCAATCTCCCCTTTCTTCTCTCCTCTCCAATTCTTTTTCCCTTACTTCTCCTGCTCCTCTCTATTTCTTCCCACTCTCATCTCCTCTCCACTCCATTCTCATCTCTTCTCCTTTCCTCACCATGCCCTTTCCACTCCCATCCCCTCTCCACTTTATTCTCCCTCTTTCTCTTTTGTCTCATTTCTCCATTGCCCTGTCCTTTCATCTCTTCTCCACTCCATACTTCTCCAGTCTCACATCTTTTCCACTCCTTCCTGCGCCTCTTTTTTTTTTATCATTTTGTATCCATTTTTACACATAGCCCTTCCTGTCCTTTATGATGTATACTTTATACAAATACTTGTAATGTCCTCTCTCAAAAAAATCAAAAACCTACTTTGAGAGCCCAGTTTGTGACTTTTCTCCCCCATATGTCCTTTCACAGGTGAGGATGAGAAAGTGAGCCGACTCAAAAGGTCTGTGGGCACTGGTGGGTTCTTCATACCTGTCCTCAAGTCCCGTGCAACTGGAACAGGCAGCAATTACGATGTCAGCAAGCAAGACAGTGAGTGGGATGGTGAAGAAGTAGCCGGGGCCACAGGAGGTTCTAACCAAGACAAAGCCACCAAAATGTCTCAGACGAAGCAGCCGCCAGAGCAGATGAAAGTTTTCCGAATTGGGGACGATCCTGAGAATGAGCAGAACTCTCCGAAAGGAAGAAAGATGTTTTATGCTGCCAACGATGGCTCCTCTAAACCCGGCTTCCCCGGAAGCCTGTTTCCTTTAGAAGCTTCTCCAAGACACCAAAGAAAAGCTTTGAACATCTCAGAACCTTTTGCAGTATCTGTTCCCCTACGTGTGTCCGCGGTCATCAGCACCAACAGCACTCCATGCAGAGCCAGCTCCAAGGACCGACCTCTTCTCTCTAGCCTGGAGGAACTGCCTCTGATGGAGCCTGACTCAGGGCCAAGATCTCCAGACTCAAATGGCAAATCTGGTCTGAAAACAGGATCTCGTTCTCCGGATGTAACTGAACCAGTAAAGAAAATTGAGCCCAGGAGGCCTTGCCTAAAAGATCTAAGCCCAGACTTATTTGAAGGTAAAAAATTAGTATTCCTAATCTTATGCAGTAATTATGATTTGTACTTTTTGTTAATTTTTCTATCCAAGTGTAGATTGAAACAAATTTCACTTAGATCTATTTCTAGGGTTGGAAGCCGTTCTGTAGCTGCAGTTCTAAAACTGCTGTGTGGTGCGGTACATACAGGACACCATGGAAAAATCACGGAACCCCATACAGCCTACCTGGCAGAGCCCCTCACAACTTTTTCAGTAGATAAATTTGGATAGTGATGTGGATCTCCGGTTGTCCAGCCCCCCTCCCCCAGCTCTTCCCAACTGTCAGTGCGCTGTGGCCCAGTAGCAGTCGCCGCACTAGCTTTGTGTGCTCTGCCCCCCGGGACCATGCCCAGCCACCCGACCTGAGGTATCCGTCATGCCACCCAGTGGCTATGGAGGGTGAAACCGACTTGGGTACGAACCCTGGCGGGCATGGGTCACCAAGCTGTGGAAACTGCAATGAGCCCATACAAGCACCCAAAAGATCGTCCTTCCAATCTTCCCTTTATAGCAGAACATGAGGTGCATTTAATAGACTTGTGGCCTAAATCTGGAGACCACTTTTACCCACTTCTTGTCCGAGACACAACATTGTCACCCATACAGGAATTGAAGGAAAATCTCTTAGGGACCAGATTGAAGAAAATAGGTCACCAGCACTCCATAAGTTAAAATGAATGAGTCCTTTTAATGGACAATGATGTCACAGAAATCCAACATTAGGCTCATGTTGGATTTCTGTGACATCATTGTCCATTAAAAGGACTCATTCATTTTAACTTATGGAGTGCTGGTGACCTATTTTCTTCAATCTTGTGTTTTGCACGGTGCCATCCGTGAAGTTACTTCGAGCACCATTTATTTGATTGTTGGCCGGGACTGCTGAAAGGTGTGCGGAGGGCACCTCCATCAATTGTCTCTTAGGGACCATTCACACCAGATGCATTGGGACTGCGTTGCCCGTTTTTCCAAGTGCAGCCCCAACTCAAGACTAGGCAATTTGCCTTATTTCAGATGGGCTCAGTTGACACCACCATGTTGTGCCCAGCACTGCTGCAAGCTCATTGTCAACCTGTGTAAACTGATTGATTAAGATGGTTCAGCCTCTTCTGGGTGAGAGAGGGAGATAGGGGTGAGCCATTTAGCTGTGTGTGTAATCTGATCCCCCCTGCTCTTTTACATCTGCACTGACTATTTATTATTCATACCTAAATGTGTGTACTGAATATATACAGTATATACTGTGTGTGTGTGTGTGTGTGTATGTATGGTTTCTGAGTTTTACACTTTTTGTTTATTTTGCTTTGACAGAAGATAACAGGACTTTGACTTTGAAGGAGATCTTACTGGAAATGTCTCAGTTACCCGATATCCTACCGATTGCGGCGGCAGACAGGAAGACGGTGGAACACACTTTTGTATCGCTCAATATGTTACATGAAGCCATTGAATCAGAACCCAGCAAACCAGTAGAAGTTGACACTACTAAGACCTCACCGGAGATTACCCCAACTAATGACCTGCATAGTCTGTTCCCCCGTGACCAGGTAAGCAGTGTAGGACCTTCATATTTCCACTGCTCTTGTCTACAGAAGCCTTTCTCAACCAAGGTGCCTTGGATATCAGGGCCAGTGCTCAGGGGACCAAATAAATCTGCAGGAAGCTAAAACTTTTGGACCTTAGTAAGCAGCAGCCATTATAAGTGATTTATTCAGCATTTGAAATAGCCTAAAAACCTTTTGAATTTAAAGTGACACAAAACACAGGAGTTAAATCTTCAAAATACATTCAAGTACCTTAACTATTAACAACAATGCATCTTATTTGTGTATCACTCGGCTGTAGATCCTCCAATCATCTCTGAATTGGTGCTGACACTGTCCTTCCTTCTGGGGGGTGGCTACTTTTGTTCCCCATGGTCCCTGTGTGTGTTGTATTGTAGTCACCGCTCCAAGCTCACTCCCGTGATGGACTACAATCTCACGTTTAGTTTACTCATTTGTATTGAGATTGTAGTCCATCACAGGAGTGACCTTGGAGTGGTGACTACTTTACAACTTGCGCAGGGACCATGGGGAACAAAAGTAGTCACCCTCCAGAAGGAAGGACAGTGTAAATATAGTATAGTAAGCTTATAAACATTTGTGTGAAAATCTACCAGTGTATGGTTGGTTTTAGGGATGCACCGATACCGGTTTTACGGTATTGAGTACGAGTACCGATATTTTTTTATCGGTACTCGCCGATATCAAATACCGATACCGGAAGTCCCATTTAGGAAGCCGGGCGGCGGGTAATTACTCGCAGCCCAGCTTCCTGATTAGCCGGGAAGCCATCTCCATGCTCCCTTGTCACCAGGTGACAAGGAAGCATTGAGCCGACTTTCTGGCCAATCAGGAAGCTGCCAGGTAATGACTCGCTGCTTGGCTTCCTGATTGGTCGGGAAGCTGGCCAATCAGGAAACTCGGCGGCGAGTCATTACACGGCGCACAGCTTTGTGTTTGGCCGGGAAGCCAGCTCCATGCTCCCTCCTCACCAGGTGAAGAGGAAGCATGGAGCCGGCTTTCTGGCCAATCAGGAAGCCGGGCGGTGGGTAATGACTCACCGCCCGGCTTCCTGGCTGGACAGCTTTCCAACCACTCGGGAAGCTGGGCGGCAACTCATTACACGGCGCTCAGCTTCCTGATTGACAGGGAAGCCGGCTTCATGCTCCCTAAACACCAAATGACGAGGGAGCATAGAGTCGGCTTCCCGGCCAGTCAGGAAGCCGGGTAGCATGTAATGACTCGCTGCCCAGCTTCCTGATACCAGAAGTTCCGGTATCAAGATAGGCATCTGGAGCATTTGGGCGAGTACAAGTACTCACCCAAATACTCGGTATCGGCACTGACACCGATACTAGTATCGGTATCGGTGCATCCCTAGTTGGTTTGATTAATGAGATGATTTCTCAATAACAATAGATACTAATTATACCAGATCTAGCGCCTCTTCTTCATGGGGCTGGGCTCATATATATATATAGAATATAACCATTTCTATTTTATTCTTTTGCATTAATCTGTTATTAAATATGACCATTGCCTTTTAACCTTTCTGTAACTCAGTATTTTAAATGTGATATTTTCGGACTTGTTGTGAGGTAAATGATGGCGATAAAGGTCAGCGGTATTGTTAAAGTGTCAGCGCTGACATTGTTTACCGTTTTGTTGAGTTTGCGAGGCGTTCAGTGGGGGGAAAAAATGAAAGTAAATGTCAGCCGTTTTGACCGTGTGTCACATCGAATCATATTTCTGGCTGTAGTGTGCGAAGTGCTGAGCGAGAATCTATTATCTACTTACAAGAGGAAATAAAAAACACTCTAAATGTACACAAGCTGATATTGGTTTGCTGCACATTCTTGCCCATGTAAAGATAACCGCTGACCTGCCAGTGTGGTTCATTAGGTTTGCATGATCGGACTGACCGTTGTTCTGAGATGTTCGGTTTATCTGAGTGCACATGTTGAAAAAAACTTGTATAGACCCAAATGTTCCCTCTAGAGCAGTGGTTCTCAACCTTTCTAGGGCTGGGACCCCTTGGTAACATTTGCCAGGTTGTGGTGACCCCCAATGGTAAAATGTAGGAATGCACCAATACTAGTATCTGTGTGGGCTCTCAGGTGGCCAGTGTGGGCTCATGTGAGCTCAATGGGGCTCTCTCGCAGTCAATGGGGCTCTCTGGTGGCCAGTGGGGCTCTTTGGTGGTCAACCTGGCATTCAACTCCCCTCACTCCCGCCCGCTCCCCTCTCTATGATCCTCCTCGTCTGCCGGTGCTGCAGCACCATCTAGCGGCACGGCCGGAGAACTGACACTGCTGCTCTAGGAGGTGGCTGAGGAGCCTCTCACCTAGCGCTGCACAAAGCATGTGTTGACCCCATCAACAGTGGGTTGTGACGCACTTTTGGGTCGCGACCCACAGGTTGAGAACCACTGCTCTAGATTAAGTCACAGCATTCATTTGTCTTTTACCTTTCTGCAGTGATAAACAGCTTTTATTAATCCCTGTAACATCATCAGCAGCCTTATAAAACTGGGGCAACTTCTGGAAACTCAGTTCCTGTTAATGTAGGCACTCCCTCAGAACTACATCTTCCAGGAGCTCTTTACCTACACACAGTGTGTGCAGGCTCTTTGGAGTCAAGGCAGCAGCATTGTTTTGCTGGGAAATAAATCAATGTGTAGAGAGGTACAGAGAGGGGAGGGAATAGAAAGGGCAGAGGCGTCACTAGGGTGGGTGTGGCCCACACCCGGGTGACACCATTGGAGGGGTGACACCAAAATGACTGACAGTCATTTTGGTGTCACCCCCTCTGAAAAGTCAGACATTCGGTCAAGGACAGAGAGCCCGACAGTTGCAGGAGAGAAAAGAGAGGACCTGATGGCATACCTTAGCCGGGTGAACATCCCCTCCTCTCTCTCTGACAGTGTCCATCACCGGCAGGTATCACCAAGATGGCCGTGCATGCGCGTGACATCATTGCAAATGTGCGTGATGACCTCACACGTTGACGTCACGGCAGGGTGTCACCCAGTACCCGCTCCAGGTGACACCCAGCCTCGGGATGTCCCTGAAAAACGGTTCTGTAGTCAAGCAGGCAAAACTGACTTCACTGCTTAGGATTTCAATGCTGCAGAGGTACATAAAGCCCAAATAGGATTTTTGGGGCTCACTGGATTTCTGGCAGATCAACGGTTATTTTTCTGTACTTGCAGTTTTTTTTTTCCAAACACTGGGTGTGTATTGCAGAGGTGACCTCATTGGCCTGTTGATGAAGAGGAAAGAGAAACCAGAGAAGGCAAAATGGAAGCAAATTCAACTTTAGCTTTAAGGGAAATGTACATTTTACATTGAATAGGGTTTTATTTCTGTCTGTGACCCCTTTAGGAACATCTTCCCTCACTTCCTGTTGCTGTGATACCTGTACAAAAAATGGGGCTCAGGTTGTCAACAAGACATGAAGGCACGGATAAAAACATTGATAGATGTAGTATCCCTGCCTACTATTAGTAAAGCTAAGTTTTAGTTTTTATCCGTGTCACCGTTGGAGAGATGAAATCGATGAATAGTCACTCAAACTCCAATTTCATACCAAGCCAATTCCTTTAATGACTATAGTAGTGTCACAATCATAGAGAGGTTTCGGAACCAAGTGGTTCCAAAACCTCTCTATGATTGTGTCTTTACTATAGTCATTAAGGAATTGGCTTGGTATGAAATTGGAGTGCGAGTGACTATTCATCGATTTCATGTTACTGGCGGAGGCATCTGCGGTCACTACGGCACCCACCCGACTTATGGGTTTGTTTCCGGTCAGGAGTGCGAAGTGAAATATCTTGGTATGAACCGTTGGAGAGATTTCCCATTACTTCCTGTGCTGATGGGAACTTAGGGGAAGTCTCCCTAATTGGAACACAGACAGTGATAAAAACCTGAATAAGGCCCTAAGCCTTTCCTGCTCTATCCAAAATAGAATAAAAAGTTTTGGCCTCGATGGGACTTTAATATTAAATTATTTACTGTTGTTTTCTCTCTTGTGCTGATGTTTCTGCCTGTCTTTGTGTTTCGTAGGAGGACGATACATCTATCACTCTCCTGGATCCTCTTTGGTCAGATATACAGCAAGAGTTGAAGATTATTGAGTCTGAAGAAGATCTTTCTACTTCCACAGGAACTCCACCGGATTCTAACCGAGCTCCGTCACCGTCTTCCCAAAGCAGCGAAGCTGTAAAAGAAGACAGTCCTTGTGATGGAGCATCTGAACTCAGTATGGGGAAGGAAATCCTTCATTCATTAGACACAGGCAGCAGTAACCTGGCAGAGGAAAGCAGGAACCAAAAAGAAAATGTAATTCCTCCAAATACAGAACTGGAAAATGACAGCAAACTACCTCAAGAAACACATGACTGTAAAGAGCAAGAACAAAGACTTGTTGATGGGCGTGAGCCAAAGTCCACCCCTGAAGCTCCAAGTGAAGAGATTGCCCTTGGTCTTTTAAAGCCCGTGGCTGCTGAAAAAGAGAGAAGGATAAGTGTTGCAAAAGAAGGTGATTCTGTAATGAAAAGTGAAGAAGTGCAAGTGATTTCTGATAGGATGGATGTAAGCAAAGAGGACGACAGGGATGATAAGTCAGAAGAAAGAAAATCGAGCGAGTCTTTAGACAATGATGATGATCTTGGAGGAGAGAGTGCACATACATTTGAGCTTGAAGAACTGTGGGAAGAGCACCAATGGGTAACCAGCCCGCTACATTCTCCAAAATTAAAGAGTGTTGTAGAGCCACAGGCACCAGCCATACCACCAAAGAGGAGAGGAACTACAGGGGAGCTATATAAAAGGCCGGAGTTTACACGCAGCTTATCCCTGGACAGTAAAGACACTCGGACGAGTCAATGGACAATAAAATTGTCAAGTATTAAAGCCGATGGAGGTTGTTACCGTAGATTAAGGAATGATCAGCTAATAAACCAAAACACTAAAAATGAACCACAGCATGGGCAAGTGAAATCCAGACATCCTGAAATGTTGACGGGGGGAAATGAAATTGATTCATTGCTTAAAACTGAAGACATTGATAAAAGGCCGTGTATTGAACCTGTGATAGACCGTTCATGGGTGAAGGACAACGGGCCTTTGAACACTACAACAGTATCTCCACAAGTACCAATAGATCCCTTAGATAATCTGCCTAATGTCAATGTTCAGGAGATAAAGCCTTCAACCCACATTTGTAATAATCATCAAACAAATGAGAATTGTATTGCCAATGAAGGATCATCAGACGAGCCTGAAAGTCAACCTTCATCTTTAAAATCAGATTCATCCTCTTCATCTGGAGTGATTTTTACATTTGAAAACACATCCGCCCAGAATCCTGATGGTACAAAACATCAGCAGATCCATCAGTCCACCGCAATTACCACATTATCAATGTATGATCGATCAAAAAGTTTGAATGACCATCCATGTTCTCACCAAAGCAGTGATTTGGATTACTCCTCAGCAAATCATGCTCCAACGGGACGTCGGAACTCTGCTCCGGTGAGCGTCTCGGCGGTTAGAGCTTCATTTATGATTAAAATGTGCCAGGCCAAAGCTGTTCCAGTGATACCACCACAAGTCCAGTACACTCAAATTCCTCAGCCATTACAGGTGCTTAATGCAGATTCAGAAGTTCTTCCTCCTGAGAAAAAAGATTGTGAGCCCGACTCGACACCAAAGCAGACTTCGTCCCAAGTTACAGGACATAACGACATTCCAAAGACTCCAAAGACTGAGGTCAAAGCTGTGGAGGAAAAAGAGAACAGTGATCCAGTTTCTGCAGATCATTCCACTCCAAACTCCTCTTCTGATAACAACCGCAGCGTTCCTCAAGATGTTCCGGTTCTTCGCCGCAAACGAACTTCAGATGGGGAAGCTTCCGGCGACACGCCTTTTTCATCCAAAATGGATCGTCCTTCTGGAATTTCAAAGTCCTTTAGGTCCCGGCCAGGAAGGCCTCAAAGCCTCATACTGTTTAGCCCACCTTTTCCCATTATGGACCATCCTTCAGTTGATTCCAGAATTCTGCTAACCCCTATAAAAAGCCCAACTCAGTCTACCCCACAGGAGTCCGCGGGAGAAAACCAGAGGACTCCAGATGGGGTCATTCTCAGGAATAAAATGACAATCCCCAAAAACGGGCAAAGACTGGAGACGTCCACCAGCTGCTTCTACCAGCCGCAACGGAGGTCTGTCATTTTGGACAGTCGGAGTGGTCGGCAAATCGAGTAGCAGCTCGGAAGCAGGGTATAAACATTGTTTTGCGCTTTCGCTGCTGCAGCTAACACGTTTTCCATTTGTTACGCAGCGAATTTCTGGGTCAGTTTTTTTACCCTTCGATGTCGGCAAAATGATATGTAAATAAGCAAAAAAAAATCAGTTTAGATAACCAAGAATCCAATCTATAAACCATGGATCTAGTGAAGGAGTTTTATCTTGTGGTGTTGTCTTCTTAATGATTGACACTTCTCTTTATTATTTGTAATAACAATATTGTATAGCTGCAGTGCAGTTTACCCAGTCTGAATGATCCAAAGATGTCAAGGGTTGGTTCAAGTCATTAACAGACAGCATGGAAAGACATTTTATAGTAGGCGACATCTAGTAAGACACGTGGAATTAAAGATCTTTACTTGACAGCACTTTGCAAAATATTGCCTAGGCAACACTTGTTTAAAGGAGAACTATGGGGTTAGGGCTTTTCCCCGTAGTTCTCCTAAGGGTAACGGGAGGACACAAACTAGCGTCCTCCCGTCACCCTAAGCTCAGTGTACCGCGAGCTGTAGCTCGCGGTATACTGAGACGCCGTAGGCGGGACGGATCCCGACATTACTGTCGAGATCCACCCAGCTGCGTGATTGACAGCTGGCTCTGCCTATCTAGAGGCAGAGCCAGCTGTACCCGCCCCCTCCCCCGTCCGCTCCGCCAGTCAGCGCTGGAGAAGCGGGGAGGGGAGAATCCAGTCCCTCCCCTGTCATGGCTCTTTGCCGTGACAGGATCGAGAGTTGAGCGAACGCCGGTATGTGTTCGCTCACTTCCCGATCTACTGAGCCGATGTGTGACAGTTTCATTGTCACAGGTCGGCTAGAACTATGAGAATGAGTGAAAAGCACTCACCTCATAATTCTCCTTTAACAAAATCAAGCGTTGCTTGTTCCCCATGCTGAGCAGAGGTAGCCACGATTGATGGGCACGTCCAGTATTTATTCTGTCTGGTGACTGAACTAGAGTATGAGCTAGATTAGGTGACCTTGAAAACGATAAGGCCCACTTTAGATTTTTTATTATTTTTGGAAAAACTTTTTGTATTTTATTAGAAAATGATCTTGTGAAAGAGAATTGTATTATATTATTATTATTATTTTTATTTTTTTTTCTCAGCCATAGGATCCGCCTCAAATTCCACCTCAAACATCCCTCCGGCAAAGGAAAAATGTAAAACTTACCAGTACAATGCTGAACTATGACAGTTTTTGAGCGTAATAAGCGTTGTGATATCTTATGTCATTGGGGAGGGGAGAAGGGGGGAGATCGGGGTCACACTTTTTTTGTTGAATTTAATTAATTTTTGTTAAATTCATTTTTTACAACCTTTACAGAATTAGTTGATTCAGGTAGCCATAAATTGGGCAAATAATCACCCACAATGGGCTGATTGTAATCATCGGTCTCAGGGGTTAGCAGCTGAGCAATGAGGAACTTCTGAGAGCATTAAACAGGGCTTTTTTTTGTATGTGGAAAATCTCTACTTATTAAGGAATCAGACCCTTTCCTTCCGAGATCTCCCTGCCAAAGATCAGACCCTTTCCTTCCTAGAACTCTTTTCTTCCTAGATCTCCCTGCCAGAGACCAGACCCTGTCCTTCCTAGCTCTCCCTGCCAGAGACCAGACCCTGTCCTTCCTAGCTCTCCCTGCCAGAGACCAGACCCTGTCCTTCCTAGCTCTCCCTGCCAGAGACCAGACCCTGTCCTTCCTAGCTCTCCCTGCCAGAGACCAGACCCTGTCCTTCCTAGCTCTCCCTGCCAGAGACCAGACCCTGTCCTTCCTAGCTCTCCCTGCCAGAGACCAGACCCTGTCCTTCCTAGCTCTCCCTGCCAGAGACCAGACCCTGTCCTTCCTAGCTCTCCCTGCCAGAGACCAGACCCTGTCCTTCCTAGCTCTCCCTGCCAGAGACCAGACCCTGTCCTTCCTAGCTCTCCCTGCCAGAGACCAGACCCTGTCCTTCCTAGCTCTCCCTGCCAGAGACCAGACCCTGTCCTTCCTAGCTCTCCCTGCCAGAGACCAGACCCTGTCCTTCCTAGCTCTCCCTGCCAGAGACCAGACCCTGTCCTTCCTAGCTCTCCCTGCCAGAGACCAGACCCTGTCCTTCCTAGCTCTCCCTGCCAGAGACCAGACCCTGTCCTTCCTAGCTCTCCCTGCCAGAGACCAGACCCTGTCCTTCCTAGCTCTCCCTGCCAGAGACCAGACCCTGTCCTTCCTAGCTCTCCCTGCCAGAGACCAGACCCTGTCCTTCCTAGCTCTCCCTGCCAGAGACCAGACCCTGTCCTTCCTAGCTCTCCCTGCCAGAGACCAGACCCTGTCCTTCCTAGCTCTCCCTGCCAGAGACCAGACCCTGTCCTTCCTAGCTCTCCCTGCCAGAGACCAGACCCTGTCCTTCCTAGCTCTCCCTGCCAGAGACCAGACCCTGTCCTTCCTAGCTCTCCCTGCCAGAGACCAGACCCTGTCCTTCCTAGCTCTCCCTGCCAGAGACCAGACCCTGTCCTTCCTAGCTCTCCCTGCCAGAGACCAGACCCTGTCCTTCCTAGCTCTCCCTGCCAGAGACCAGACCCTGTCCTTCCTAGCTCTCCCTGCCAGAGACCAGACCCTGTCCTTCCTAGCTCTCCCTGCCAGAGACCAGACCCTGTCCTTCCTAGCTCTCCCTGCCAGAGACCAGACCCTGTCCTTCCTAGCTCTCCCTGCCAGAGACCAGACCCTGTCCTTCCTAGCTCTCCCTGCCAGAGACCAGACCCTGTCCTTCCTAGCTCTCCCTGCCAGAGACCAGACCCTGTCCTTCCTAGCTCTCCCTGCCAGAGACCAGACCCTGTCCTTCCTAGCTCTCCCTGCCAGAGACCAGACCCTGTCCTTCCTAGCTCTCCCTGCCAGAGACCAGACCCTGTCCTTCCTAGCTCTCCCTGCCAGAGACCAGACCCTGTCCTTCCTAGCTCTCCCTGCCAGAGACCAGACCCTGTCCTTCCTAGCTCTCCCTGCCAGAGACCAGACCCTGTCCTTCCTAGCTCTCCCTGCCAGAGACCAGACCCTGTCCTTCCTAGCTCTCCCTGCCAGAGACCAGACCCTGTCCTTCCTAGCTCTCCCTGCCAGAGACCAGACCCTGTCCTTCCTAGCTCTCCCTGCCAGAGACCAGACCCTGTCCTTCCTAGCTCTCCCTGCCAGAGACCAGACCCTGTCCTTCCTAGCTCTCCCTGCCAGAGACCAGACCCTGTCCTTCCTAGCTCTCCCTGCCAGAGACCAGACCCTGTCCTTCCTAGCTCTCCCTGCCAGAGACCAGACCCTGTCCTTCCTAGCTCTCCCTGCCAGAGACCAGACCCTGTCCTTCCTAGCTCTCCCTGCCAGAGACCAGACCCTGTCCTTCCTAGCTCTCCCTGCCAGAGACCAGACCCTGTCCTTCCTAGCTCTCCCTGCCAGAGACCAGACCCTGTCCTTCCTAGCTCTCCCTGCCAGAGACCAGACCCTGTCCTTCCTAGCTCTCCCTGCCAGAGACCAGACCCTGTCCTTCCTAGCTCTCCCTGCCAGAGACCAGACCCTGTCCTTCCTAGCTCTCCCTGCCAGAGACCAGACCCTGTCCTTCCTAGCTCTCCCTGCCAGAGACCAGACCCTGTCCTTCCTAGCTCTCCCTGCCAGAGACCAGACCCTGTCCTTCCTAGCTCTCCCTGCCAGAGACCAGACCCTGTCCTTCCTAGCTCTCCCTGCCAGAGACCAGACCCTGTCCTTCCTAGCTCTCCCTGCCAGAGACCAGACCCTGTCCTTCCTAGCTCTCCCTGCCAGAGACCAGACCCTGTCCTTCCTAGCTCTCCCTGCCAGAGACCAGACCCTGTCCTTCCTAGCTCTCCCTGCCAGAGACCAGACCCTGTCCTTCCTAGCTCTCCCTGCCAGAGACCAGACCCTGTCCTTCCTAGCTCTCCCTGCCAGAGACCAGACCCTGTCCTTCCTAGCTCTCCCTGCCAGAGACCAGACCCTGTCCTTCCTAGCTCTCCCTGCCAGAGACCAGACCCTGTCCTTCCTAGCTCTCCCTGCCAGAGACCAGACCCTGTCCTTCCTAGCTCTCCCTGCCAGAGACCAGACCCTGTCCTTCCTAGCTCTCCCTGCCAGAGACCAGACCCTGTCCTTCCTAGCTCTCCCTGCCAGAGACCAGACCCTGTCCTTCCTAGCTCTCCCTGCCAGAGACCAGACCCTGTCCTTCCTAGCTCTCCCTGCCAGAGACCAGACCCTGTCCTTCCTAGCTCTCCCTGCCAGAGACCAGACCCTGTCCTTCCTAGCTCTCCCTGCCAGAGACCAGACCCTGTCCTTCCTAGCTCTCCCTGCCAGAGACCAGACCCTGTCCTTCCTAGCTCTCCCTGCCAGAGACCAGACCCTGTCCTTCCTAGCTCTCCCTGCCAGAGACCAGACCCTGTCCTTCCTAGCTCTCCCTGCCAGAGACCAGACCCTGTCCTTCCTAGCTCTCCCTGCCAGAGACCAGACCCTGTCCTTCCTAGCTCTCCCTGCCAGAGACCAGACCCTGTCCTTCCTAGCTCTCCCTGCCAGAGACCAGACCCTGTCCTTCCTAGCTCTCCCTGCCAGAGACCAGACCCTGTCCTTCCTAGATCTCCCTGCCAGTGACCAGACCCTTTCCTCTTGAGATCTCCCTGCCAGAGATCAGACCCTTTCCTTCCGAGATCTCCCTGCCAGAGATCAGACCCTTTCCTTCCTAGAGCTCCGTGCCAAAGATCAGACCCTTTCCTTTCTAGATCTCCCTGCCAGAGATCAGACCCTTTCCTTCCTAGATCTCTCTGCCAGAGATCAGACCCTTTCCTTCCTAGATCTCCCTGCCAGAGATCAGACCCTTTGCTTCCTTGATCTTCCTGCCAGAGATCAGACCCTTTCCTTCCGAGATCTCCCTGCCAGAGATCAGACCCTTTCCTTCCAGATCTCCCTGCCAGAGATCAGACCCTTTCCTTCCTAGATCTGACTGCCAGAGTTCCACCTTGTTCCTCAAGCCATGGCAAAG